GTTTCTAAAAATATTTTGCAAATGACAATTTGAATAAAATGTGTTTCCTTTGGGATCCTATATATTTTACTTAATGCAATTAAAAATATGATTCTGAAAAGGGGTCCATAGGTTTCCACAGATGGCCAGAGGAATCCATGATACACAAAAGGTGACAAAGCTGTGCCCTGAAGCATCCTCAGTAATCTTTCTTTGTCCCTTCGTTCTTATTTACTTTTTCCATCTCCACAGTCAAAGTGAGTATGCCCTCCATTCTAGTGATTCTGCTTTCCCCTCCATTGCATTATTTCAAAAAGATCTTTCCGGGTTTCTTTGTATTCTTGAGCTCTAATATGAATGAAACAGAAAGAAGCTAAGAGAAGCTAGTAGGATGGGCTCCTTAAGATCAATGACAGTTTTCTAATTTATCATTTATATAAAACCATGAAAAATGTCTGAGAGTCACCTATGGCTAGGGATGTCTCCCTATCAAAACGCTTCCTCTGAAAATTTAGCAATGGCCCCAGCTTCCAGCTGGAGAAGCCGTTGTTGAATTTCTAGAGGGAGCTTTTATACCTCAGATATTAGCAAACACTATAAAACAGGGCTTAATGTGTTGTTTTGTTGATTGTTTGATACAAGGAAGTGATGGAGAAAATCTTATTAATGCAGGCTATATTTAAAGGTGTATCCTACTTACTCTTTTTTAAAAAAGAGAGCCCATTGCTAAATATGTACCAGAATTTCCCTGCCACTGATGACAGTAATACCCTCCCTTTAGTATAATGATTTCTTCTTTATCCGTTAATAATCGCTGGGCCCCTTCTTAATGGACAAAGATTCTTGACACCCTCTCACATCTTTCAGTCTAGGGTACCATCAAACTGAAACTGATGATGAAGAAAGAAGGCAGGTAAGATTATATCAATAATACAGCTAACAGGAAATATGACATAATAAATAAAGGTTCAGCCTCAGAGCCAGGAAGACTTGGGTTCAAGCCATCTGATAAAACATTAGCTGTATGACCCTGGGCAAGTCATTTTACCTCCTAGAGAGATCAAGTGCTCCCTAAGGCTGTAGATTACAAAAGAGTGGCATGTCTCCACTAGCGGAGGGGTTTCCTCCCAGGCAGCTTCCTACATCACTTAAATCATAGGTCTGGGTCCAATTGTAAAACTTGGCTGCTTTGGCTGACCCTTTCAAACATCTGAGTAGATAGTTCAGTGCTCAGCCCCTCCTATTATTTTATTCCAAGGGTTCTTAATATTTTGCCTCTCTCTCTCTCTCTCTCTCTCTCTCCTCTCTCTCTCCTCTCTCTCTCTCTCTCTCTCTCCTAATTATCTACTTTCATAAGGGAAGGAAATGCTAATTTTCAGTTACAAGTTAGTGAAAATAAACATGCAATTTGGTTAGTGAACATATAGATGTCATTTTTTTCCTATCTCAATTCAGGGACCCCCAAATCTGCCTGTGAGCCTATGAGCCACAAGTTAAGAGCCATGCCTTATTCAATCCAATTCACAGCAAGGTATTGTGCTAGGTGCTGGGGACCCAAAGGCAAAAATAAAAGAGATCCTGCCTAAAGAAAGCTTAAATTCTACTGGGGGACAGAAGTAAACAGATGAATAAAAATAAGAAAGATAATTTAAGGGGGGAATAAATCACACTTAGGGGAATGAGGAAAGGCTTCCTATAGAAGAGGCATTTGACCTGTCCATTGAAGAAAGAGCTAAGGATTCAGAGAAACAACAGGCAGGAGGGAGTGAGGAACCAGAAGCAGACCAGTTTGACAATATGAAGGGAAGAAATAAGAAATCAGTTGGGAAAGGCTAGCTGAAAACAGAGTCTATAGGGAATCAGAAGTAATAGGGAGCCATTGAATGTTACAAAGCAGGGTGCTTACATGGTCTGATCTGTGCTTCAGGAAGATTTACTTTGACACCTATGGGGAGAGTCAGTTGGTAAGGGAGAAGGATGGAATCAGAAAGATGAAATGAAGCTCTCTTGCCACAGGAGAGATGATGAAGGTTGGAAGTAGGCAGGTGGCCCTGATTGTGGAGAAAAAGGAAAGCACCTGAGATAAATGGGTCTAGAATGAACAGAACTTGGCAACTGATTTGTATTCTCGTATCAACCTTGGCAGGTAAACAAGAGTGTATATTATCTCCAATTTATAGAAGGAGTAATTGAGTATCTGAGGGGTTAAGACCATTCAATAAATATTTATGAAAGTTCCTGGTTTATGACCAGAACCTTAGCCAATGTATCACAACTAGTTGTAGTGGATAGATGACTGTGGAATTCATCTAATCTCTCAGCCTCAATTTCCTCATTGGTAAAAAATAGAAATAATGCTACCTGTAGTACCTTCCTTACTACATTATGAGACTCAGAGAAGATTGTGGATTGCTTTCTAAGACCATACAAAAATGACAACTATTAAATGCTCTTGTAATTATTGCTAGTAGGACCAGGACAACCCAAGGCGTCTAACCAAATCCAGTGACATGTTCACTATTTCAAAGCCCAGCTAACATTTTCAGAAACCAGATCTTGTCAACCAAAATCCCATTCAGGCCATGGAACTAGAGGAGGAAGGGACTTGAGAACTAATGTGGTAGGATCCCCTTCATTTTCAGATGAGGAAACAGGCCTGGAAAGGGTTAAACAACTTGTGCTGGGACTCGGAGGAAAAGGTAGAAGAGCTAGGATTTTCACCTATATCCCTTGGCTCCAAATGCAGAGTGCTTCCCACTATATAACACAGCCTGCTGGCCCTACTTGCTTAACCCCATATCCAAATATCTCTCTTTCTGTCTCCCTGCCTCTGCCTCTCCCTTTCTCTCTCTCTCTCTCTCTCTCTCTCTCTCTCCTCTCTCTCTCTCTCACACACACACACACACACACACACACACACACACACACACTGTCTCTGTGTCTCTGTGTCTCTGTCTCCCTTTCTCTGTCTTCCTCCCTCCTCCCCTGCCCTTCACACACACACACACACACCACACACACACCACACACACACACACACACACCCCTCCCCCTCAACCTCAAGATCCCCGCCGCAGCCGTCAGGCCCTGCTCTCCAGGCAGAACCAGAAGCCACAGGCTTAGGGAAAACCGCCGGGCACCAGTCCAGTTCTGAAACCCGGCCCTTAAGGCAAAGAAAAGAAGGGGCCTTTCTCTGGGACGCTACCTAAAATCTGCCTGTAGGTGGCGCCCTGGTTCATTCACTGCAGCAAGATCTGCCTGGGGCTCCAGAGTCGGCTCACTCTTGTGCTGCTCTCTATTCAGCCTGGTTAACCTGGTCCTTCCTTCCTTCCTTCCCCTCGTACTTTTAATCAGAGAGCCCAGGCAACTGGAGAGATCATTAAAGGGATCAATCCAAGCTGGCCCCTGCCCCCCACCCTCACCCCAGTTGGCAGCACTTGGGAGGAAGCAGAGGGGAAGATGCTTTGTAGGAGAGACAAGAGTGTTCTGTGCAAATAGGCAAAGAAGAGGTGGCTTCAAATTCTGACTTTACCAATGGTCAAACCTGGGCAAGTCACTTAGCCTCTTAGGGCCTGTTTTCTCATCTGTAAAATGAAGAGGTAGGACTGAGTTATCTCTAAGTATTCTATGATCTCTAAACTTAGGAGGCAAATGGAAGGAGGAACTTTCCAATTACTAGAGATTCTTAATTATTAACCTACTGAAAGCTGCTGCTGATATGACTGTCCAAAGCAGGCCTCTCTGGCCTATCAGTCGCCATCTTTCTAGTTTTAAGGTTGGCAACTCACTTGAAACATTTGATTTTCACAAAAATCCTGGCAAGTAGGTGCTATTATTCTTTCCATTTTGCAGATGAGGAAAGTGAGGCTGACTTGCCCAAGGTCATGTAGCTCTAAGAGTTGTTTCCTCTATTAGGTTGTAAATTCTTGATGGAAAGGACTGTCATTGATTTTTGTATTTGCATTTCCAGTGCTGGGTACAGTACCTGGAACATAGTAAATACCTTTGACATTCATAGGTAAGGGTTGTAAAACTCTTTAAAAACATTCTTTTATTTGAGCCTCACAACAACCCAGGAAGGTGGCTACTATAAGTATTATTGAGTCCCATTTTACAAAGAAGAAAACTGAGGTCCCAAGAAGTATGGCCTTGGTCTCAGAAGCTTGTATCAGAATGGTCATTGGAACCTCAGCATTCTCTCCACTACACGCTAGTGCCTGTCATGTCTAACACTCAAAGTTGGTCTAGTTGGTCACTGAAGTTCCTTCCAGTTATAAAGTATAAGACCCTTTGGTTAGTTCAAGAATAGAGGCTGAAAAGCAGCTTGGGGTGTTGAGGACATGGCAGGGGAAAGGGAAGGGACTGTCAAGGGAGGAGCCGCCTGCAGGACAAGAAGAGGGTCTTTATTGGGAGGGAAGGTGAGCTGCAGTCTTCATCTGAACCCCTACTTCCGATCCCTTCACTCTTCTTCTGGACTCAAGCACAGACTCAGGCCCAGCCTCCTCAGTCCCAATCCCAGGCCCCACAACAAGAAAACAAGAGAAAGTCTGGGATAGACACCCCTGATGATCACTTTCACCTGGCATCCCAACCAGCTGATTGAGGAGAAGGACAAAAGGAAGTGTGTCAGCTGTACCCAGAGCCACAGGATGACTAGGCTGGTTTCAGGTCCCATCTATAACACATACTGACAGTGTGACCCTGGACAAGTCATTAACCATTCTGTGCTTTGGGCCACTGTGAACTGCAGAACAGGCACTTATATAAGGTAGCAGAGGTGTATACCTTAACTGAAGTACCCTAACCCTATAAAATCATGGGTCTAGATAACTATGCGTACATATATGTATAGGTAATAGCAAACATGTAATGCCTTAGGTTGTATAAAGTGCTTTTCATACATCATTTCATACAGCACCCATTCTTTTTATGGTGTTAGAGATAAAGCAAATTGCAAGCTTTCACTCAAAGCCAGCCAGCCAGAGGAAGGCTTGGGGAGTAGAAGACAAGAAAGCACGAACTGGTTTATTTTGCACTTTATTGCCCCAGATTCGGAGAAGCTAATGAGAAAGGAGGCCGTGTGTTTGTTGCGTGAGGAGGTGGCTGGGGAGGGAGTAACAGAGCAAGGATAGTTTGAAGTTCCTATGGCAGCTCCTTTAATAGTGGGCTCTGCTGCAGGAATTTCGGCAGTCGCTGTTCGCCCTGTGGTTCCAGGTGTGTGTGTCGGTGTCGGGACTTAAGGCAAATTTGAGACGAGTTTCCAACAATGCAGCCCGCATGACCTCTAGGAAGATTACTGTTTTGCTTCTCTCAGTGTAGAAGGAGCAGTTCATCGGGGGTGGGAAGAACCCCAATAACCAGAGGTTTTCATTTTATTGTCGTTGATAAAAATCATCTCTTGGCGTTCCGGTAGCGCGGTAAAAAGAAATGGGGAAATAAAAAAAGCTGCGAGTCCTTTAGGGAAAGAACTAATCTCAGAATTCTTTTAGAAATAATCCCTTACATATTGCGCCTTACCCAGTTTGGAAACCTGGTCCAGAACATTTTAATTTGCATCTTTGGAGAGGTCGAAATTGTCATCCATGAAACTGACTAGTAGCGGTTACAGAGAACTCCAGCCGACGGCTCACTTTAAAAAAAAAAAAAACCTCGTCAAGTTAAAGTTTTCCCTCGTCCCCAAAGGCAATTAGATGTCCCGTAGTTCATCGTTTAGAGGCAAAGCCTGTTGCAAAGTTCAGTGCGTTTTCTTTGAGAAACAGAAACAACACAATTGGAATGAAAGCTTTTAGTCCATTTCAAGAAGCTGTTTAAGGTTTCCAGTGAACAAACAGCTGCTGAGGAAGGAAGAGCAGGGAGCGGGATGTCCCAACTCGATTTATTTCAACCTCAGCTTTCTGCATCCACTGTCATCTTTTGGAAACATTCTAGTCAAATTAAGATGAGGCTATCACCCCCATTTTGAAGTAGGGAGAAAAAGAAAAAGAAGAGACCTGTAGGGGAGAGAGAAATTAGCCGACTGTTACCTTTTTCCCCCCCACAAGGCCCAAATATAATCCCTTAATGTATGGAAAAGGATCAGTCGGGTAAGTCCCCAACTGCCTATTTCTTCATATTGCTTGAAACTGTCCCAAAGTAGGGATAAAATAGGCGCATTCACAAACACAGTCCCTCGAAAAAGTTCTAACTCGCTTTGTAGGCACCCGACGGACAAGAGGTGACCTCCTTCCCAAGAACTTTCTTTGCTCCGGCAGCTGTCTTAGTAGGGTCGGCTGGGTTCAAACAGTCACGCTAGTTGAGCTGGGGTGTCCCGAAGCTCTGGATGTCTGCGGACTAAGGAACAGAGAACCTGCTTTCGAGAGCTGAGAGGGGACAGAAAGAAAAGACCGTTGGTACTGGGGTTCACTGATTATGTCGTACATTTGGTACGGCTTGCCCTTTCTTTTTCTCTCTCGTTCTTTCCTCTCTTCCTTTCTTCCTCTTCTCTCATTTTTCTTTCCTTCTTTCTTTTCTTTCTCCTTTCTCTCTTCCTTTCTCTTTGTTTCTTACTTTTTCTTTCTGCTTTTTCTTCCTCCATTTCTTTCTCCCTTTCTTTCTTTCTTTCTTTCTTTCTTTCTTTCTTTCTTTCTTTCTTTCTTTCTTTCATAAAACAAACTGGAATTGGCATATTGAAGTAATCCCCCCCGATGTTAAGCAAAGATAACAGACCGTGTACATCAGTGTTTCCTACATCCATGCAGCTGCTCGGTGCCAAGAAATTATCAGAGTGTGCCGGGGGAAAGAGGACGGGAGATTCGAGATTCGGCAGGAAAATAAAATGTGACCTATGCACGCCTTTACACATTTCTTTAGGGTGAAAACCAGTCAATTGCTCCAGGGCTCCCCTATAACTAACCCTCGCAGCGGTTAGAAGCTGCAACAACTAGAAACTGAAGTGCGACCGGGCGCAGCAGAAACTGTAAATAAACTTGCAAATAGCTCTGGAGAGGAATATTAACAGACCGCCACAGTTTGTGGGGTGTCCTCACAAGGGACAGGAACGTCGGGTTTGAGAGGTGATGTAAAGAGGAGAAAGAGGGCTGTGGTGATAACTCCCTGCTTTCCTAGAGCAAACATTTTAAACTAGCCTCAAAGCCTGTAAAAAGCCCCAGCGCGGCAGCCGACACATCTTAGCTCAGTAATCGTCGGTACAAGGAGAGTTGTAAATAGATTTCTCTCTTGATCGCTGCAAACTTCTCATTGCAAACTTTTCTCTACTGCCGGGGCTACCGACTTTCTGTCCTGATTTCTGCAGCTGCGGGACCTTTTCATGAAATCCGTGCGTCCGTGAGACTGAAAAGCCGCAAACTCGTCCGGGACGGTGCCTCTAACATGTAACACACAAAACGTAAACAGAGAGAACGCTAAGACTTTAGGTCGGTGGTGTGTCCAAATCCAGACATCCGAGGAAGGATGTGGACAGAATCTGGACGAATTTTTTGCTCTCAGAGCCCGTGTGTCTGGCCAGAATGGGCACCCACCCACGAATTTGTATCTGCACACACCTTCCCAAGATCTGAGGCGATCCTACCAGCTATAAAGTAAAGGTTTTTTCAGAATGGTTATTCGGTGTCAAAGTGTGAGGTTGCTAGAGGCACTCCCAGCTTCCCCACCCCCTCCACCCCAGACAGTTACAAAACACGTGTGTGCGCGACTGGTCCTGGGGAAGTCTGATCTGGCTGCCGAAAAGTGGTGAAAAGTTTGCCTTTCTCCCAGCAGCCCTGGAGGTCTGTTGTTTTCATAGTCTCTGCCGGCCTCCAGTGAGTCAGTCACCCCGATCCCCGTGCTTCACAGCCCCACAATCGAAAGAGTTTGCGGTTCAGAAGTTAAAAACTGTGGTTTAGTTATTAATTGGAAAGGGACACTTTTTTTTTTTAAATCGTTGATTGCCTTCAGCTGGACACTACCTTGAAAGAGGATTTGCTTTTCCATGCATTGATGGAAAGTCACTCTTAGAGACTCTACTTCTGCGAAAAGTTTCTTAAAAATTGGAGATATATTGCAATCTCACACTCTAGAAGTGTGAGGTGAAGGGGACTCTTTTCTTGAAAGAATCGTGCTCCCTGTGCAAGGGCTTGGGGCAAGAGAAAGGTTAGATAGGATCCACTTCACTGGAAGACAGCATTTTTCAAATTACCAGATTTTAATAATCAGGCATACATGAAATGCATTAAAAAAAATCAACCCAAACTTACTGCCTCTTTTTACAAGACACCCTGGAAATGAGTTTGGCAAGAAGTTTGCTGAGTTGGTTTAATCACAAATTAATGTTTAGATCTAGGCCCAGTCTTGGCCAAGTTTCCAGGGTTCCTACTTGGTGGGGGGGGAGATAGAAGGAGGGGTTGGGGGAAGGGGAGAAAAATTTCTCACTTCACTAGTTGCCATTACTAAGTTGACAGAGTTAGAGAGAGCCTTTCTTTTAAAGTACACCACTGTGTTGTGTATCTCGCCATCTTTTGCTGAAAGAGCATTCAGAAGAATTAAGTTTTGCAGCTTTCAAGATGAAAGTAAGAAACTGTCTCCTTTCAGCTCTCCTGAGAGGACTTTTCTGGGGAAGGGCAAGGGGGGGAAGAAGGGGAGTACTCTCTTTGCGTGATGCTCCCCCACTTGGTTCTGGGCTCTCTCCTCAGCTCTCCCTTTCTGCCGCGGGAATACATCCTCCTAGTCATCACTTTCAAGCCTAAAGCCCCCAGTTCCCATGACCTCAGCTCCCCAATCCTTCCCTTCACTTTGGAGTCAACTTGGGGGAGGGGTTGGAGCTAGGGATGGAAACAGCAGCCCGCCTGGCTTCCGAACTTTCTGTTACTGTCTTTTCCTTACGAGAAAGCTCCCTTCCAGTCTGATCACTTAGTGCACTGAGCTAGGACTGCCTGAGAGAAATCATTGTACTAAGAGGGGCAAAGGAAGTAGTCTCCAGACCTCTCCATACAGGAGCTCTCAGGATGCTCCCCCCCCAAAAAAAAGAGGGCACTAGGACAATTATTCGTTTTTTTAAAGGGGGGAGGGTGTGTAGTGTGGGAAAGGATAGAAAGGGAATTTTGGCAGGGCGGAGAAAAAGGGGGGCTTCCTTATTTCCCTCGCCATATTCTCTGTTCTATTCTGATAACTTCTTCAGAGTTTCAACTTTGTGAAATCATCAGTTGAAAAAGAGGAAGGGTCAATTGCTTTCACATTAAAGTGTGTGTGTGGGGGGAATTATTGCAACCCTGGCTATTTGCTAAGGCCATTTTGGGGATGCCTCCTGTTTCAATATAGTCCATGCACCCAAAGTCAGGAGGAAAGGAAGCAGGTAAAGGTTAGCTCTAGAGGGCACAGAACTGAGGATTTGGGATTTATTTAATACTTGTGTTAATTAGATTGATTGACAGATAATGTTTTATTGTGGTAGTGTGTGGATCCAAGAAGATTGCTCCAGCATCCAGGCAGGATGCTTTGGTCAGAGTTGGGCACTTCTACCAGCAGCTGGTGCTACCTAGAACCCCCTCAATCTTTGGCCTGAAAGGATAAGATCATCAGACTTTCCTTTTCTCCTGCCTGGGCCTGGCAGGGTTGAAACCCAGCCTGAGATGCACCTAGCTGACATTCCTAACACCTCTGGCATCCAGCTGAGGGGGGGAAATTCAGTTTTAATAAGTTGTATGGATTTAAAAAGAGGAGAGAGCAATGACCTAACTCTTCCAGGGTTCCAGTATTCAGCATGAAGGAGGTCTCTGCCTAACTTAATCCTGTTCCAGGATTAATCCCCACGCTTTTGTAAAAAACAACCTTGTTCCCCCTACCATAACTCCCAAATAGAACTCTGGAGTTGTCTCCACAGGCATTATATCTCCTTCACTCAATCCCAGACTCCTCTTTTCATCAAGCTAGGAGGGGAATCATATGAAAGGGACCTTAGAGGTCATCCAGGCCAATGTCTTTATTCTGTAGATGAAGAAACTGAAGCCCAGAGGGGTTACAGGACAGGGAGGAGGCAGGGCGAGGACTCAGAATGTTCCACGAAACCAGACCCAGAATCCCGTTTATTTTTCATTAAACCACTCCTGACTTGAGATGGGAGATAGTGCAAAGAAGAGCTTTGGAACCAAACTGTATTTATCATGCTCTGAGCTCTTTAAAGAAGGAGGTGATGTGTTGGAGAGTGGGTAGACAGCAAGGAAGAGAGTAAATAGGATAGAGACATGGTTATAAGCTAGCTTCACTTAAGGGACCTGATATTTTAGAATAGTTTCTTCAAAGATATTTTTTCTTGCCCTCTCTCCCCTGAAAAGGTCATGCATACTTGTTGAGCACGATTGGACCAGATAAAACATTAGCCCTGGCTCTACTGAATTCTCCCTCTTCCCCTTTTGGTAGCTAATGAAGGGGGTCAGATTGACTGAGTTAGAAAGCATTGGGGTCTGGTATTAATCACACTGCTGAGTAGTGTAGTGGCACAAAAGCCAGCGGATAGAAACAGAAACAAACCTCTTTCAAGCTGATCAGGTCTGCTATTCTTGTATCTAGGGTGGAGTATGGGGCCTGTAGTGCATACACTGCTATGGTCCCAGCCTGGGCTCTGTCCTTGCCCTTCATCTACACAGAGGAAGTAGAGAGCTTCGAAATTAACCAAATAATCCGGTCCATTCTTTCCCCCAAGAGAGTGTGAGCCCCTTAAGAGCAGGAAATTCTCAGTTTTCTGTTTGTATCCCCCCAAAGCTTAGCACAATGCTTGGCACAATGCTAAATAAATATATTTTTTCATTAATTCATTCATCAAAATTTCCCTCTCCAAAATTTTTTGCACTCTCTCCAAATCGTCTCTTCTTACTTCCACTCCTGAGCGATCAGACTTGAGTCTTTACTCCTCCTGAGGAGACAGAGCCTGTAACTTTTCAAATAAACTGGAGTATTATAAACCTAAAGTGCTTCTGGAACTCCTCCTTGCAGATCCTGGACGTTACCTTTAAGGAAGTCAGGTTCCCACCCCCTTCTCCCATCATGTGATAATCAGATTGTGTGACCCTCCTCCTCAAATAGCGTTCCATGCGGAATAAATCGGGGACGAGCCAATAACAATCCTTCCTGCAGGTACTTTCCTGGGTGCTATCGCCACCCGAACGCTGAAGTCATCAATTTTCTAATTCTAAGAGTATAGACGTGTATTTACAACGAAGGAGAACTCTAGAACCTCGCTTCCTCATTAGCAGCCCAGAATCAGACAATATTCGAGCTGGATAAGACCCGAGAGCGCAACCCCCTCATTGGAAGGAGGAGGGAACCGCACCCCAAAGAGAGGAAGTGACTGGCCCAAGGTCACACAGCTCTTTAGGGGCAGAGCTGGGACGCAAACCCAGACTAGGGTTTTGTTTTTGTTTTTTTGGCCCCAAGCTACACTCCCGATGCACCGAGCAGAGACATTGTGACCAAGAACCCAGGCACTCATTCCATGCTTGGCATACAACATAGAACATAGCAGAGGCTGTCTTATGCCTTCCTTACTTTCAGACGTTTCCCCGGGCATGTCTTCACCGCATGTCCTTCCCCTAGCAATCGCAGCCGCCGCAGGCTTCTCTCCACAAGCGTGCGCCTTGGCGAAGCAGAGGGTTAGCCTAGCCGAACCGAAAGTGCGCATTTCTCCCCCGTCTTAAATAAATAAATAAATAAATAAATAAACAACAGAAAAGAGGGCTTTGTTTGGCTTGTAAGTGATCGGATTCCTTCCAGAGGCTGCACTCACGCCAGTCAGTTTCCCTGAGACGTGACTGTCGCTCAGTCTAGCTTTGTTCAGACTTTATTTCTCCTCAGGCTGCATCGCCGGTGCGGGTCCCACAGCAAAGGTTGAGGGTGGGGCGGTGGGTCGGGGTGCTGGAGGAGAGGGTGTGGATAGGCGGGGGAACAGGGCCCTCTGTTCCCCCCCCATATACAATAAGCACTGCTGCATGCATGCCACGGCCCGGCGAGCCCGCACACACGTGTGGAATGCCCATGCGGCTATGGGGAGGGGGGCGCGCGCGCGGGTGTCTGCCCGTGTGTGTCTCCCTGTGTGTGTGTGTGAGTGTGTGGACGCGCGTGTGGGAGATTTAAAGCGACAGCAGGAACAGGCTGCCCGAGGCCGAGGCCCGAGCCACTGCTGCGGGCCCATTTTTCGGCGCGCCAATGTTTTCGCCTGCATCCTTCGGCTGCTGCGGACGAACATGCACTGCGGCAAAGGGAGAACTCTGACGCTCAGTCGGCTGCGGCGCGGGCGGAGAAGGGGGAGACCGGGGACTCGAGCCCCGATTGCTCTTGCACTGAACGCAGTGTCAAGGGGCAAGGGAGGGACCGGGCTGCGAGAGCAGCAGGCTGGATGTCTATTGACTGGTCGTTTTTGGTAGCTACGTTTTTCCTCCCCCTGAATTGTGGGCTGGGCAGGAGTGGGCTCGGGGTATGCAGAGCAGAGTAGGGGAGCAAGGGAGGACCCATCATTTGCAAGCATTACGTTTGCGTCCTTGACAAAAACCAAAATCACTCTAGAAAATGGCTACCAGAGGTTACCCGAAGAGCAAAATGGTCCTGGCAAGACTCTCGGGTCCTCTCGTCTCCCTGGCCCCAAAGCCCCACCCTGGGAAAAGCCCTCGACTCCGGCTTTGGGAAGGTGGCTGGCTTTGTGTGCCCTGGTGTGTCCATGCCTCTGTCTTGTCTCTGCTCTCACGTCACCTGCTTCGGTTAGCCATAGCCTTAAAAATAAAATAAAATAACCCTTCCCAACAAATAAGCCACTCATATGGAAAAGCAGGCTGGCACATCTGGGGTGCAAGTATATGGGGGTCGGGGCCAAGCTCCTTGTTCCACCACCAGCCTGGAGAGGGAGGTAGACAGCGGCAGCCCCAGCCCCAGCAGCTGCTGGAGCAGCAGCCGTGTCACTGCAGTCAGTGCAGGCAGGCTTCCTGACCTACGAAGCTCCCAGCTCCCCCAGTGATGCTGCACCAATGGCGGGAAGGGGTGTCTTCTAGCGAGGCAGCTAATCAACCCAGCCATTAATAGGTATCTTAATATGCTTATTAAAAAAGTCACAACACCTCCAAATCCCATCCTTTCTCTCTATATAATGATGGGGGGGGGGAGAGAGAGAGAGAGAGAGAGGAGAGAGAGAGAGAGAGAGAGAGAGAGAAGAGAGAGAGAGAGAGAGAGAGAGAGAGAGAGAAATGAAGGAAGGAAGGAAGAGGAAGAAGAGGAAAAAGAAAGAGGAAGAAAAATTACCAGAGAGGGAGGGAGAAAGAAAAGGAAGGAAAAGAAACAAAATAAATAAAAAATAAAAAAAAGAACAGAGGAAGGGAAAGAAAGAGAACTTTATAAAATGTGGAGGAAATTATAGGCTGGATGTACATAGAATAAAACTTCAAGGTTTTGAAGAGGTTAGTAGGATTGAGGAGAGAAAACTTTCTCATTATTTTTTTTTAATAGCACTTACATATTTAAACTAGCTTCATGCATAGGGTTCTGGACTTGCAGTCAAGAAGACTTAAGTTCCAGTCTGGCTCATGACTTTTCAGCAAGTCACTCAATCTCTGTCTAATTTTGTTTCGCTATCTGTAAAAATCAGGGATAATAATAACATCTACCTCCCAGGGGTGTTGGGAAGATAAAATAAGATAATATTTATAAATCACTTTATATAACTTAAAGTACTATATAAACGCTAGCTATCGTTACTGTATCACAGCAGGTTGAGCAGCGGGTCTGGCGTTTTCCAGTTTCAAAGGATAATTGGAGTTATTGGTGGAGAGTTTCAGGAGCCCAATCCCACACTGAGTAGGACATCCTTTTTCCCAGAATTTATTTGTTGCATTGAAGATGTTAACCACATAGTCAATCACAGGCGAGCAGCTGTAGTTAAGGAAGCTGGCCAGATCTGAGACTTTGTACTTGGCCACACCAAGAGAGTGACCAGAGACAATTCTAGCTTAAGGGAGAAATCCACTGTTAGAGAGATGACTGGAATCTGGTTTATCCATCTAGTCCACCTTGGAAGGAAAGAGGGAGTAAGAGAGGAAGGGAGGCAAACCTACTGTTCGTAAGAAGTTAATTACTTGGACAAAGGCTGACTGCAATGCAAATGAAATGAAATCATATCCCTACTCTGGTCCAGATAAAAGGTCAGCGGTAGCGTTTTGTCAAAATCAGTCTCTGTTAGAAACATGAACACTAAATCCCAGAGAGGGCAACAGGACATGATGGAAAAAGCCAGTAGACCGGGAGTGAGAGGACCTGAGTTCCAGTCCCATCTCTGCCACTTACTGCTTCTGGGACCTTTGTCTAAGTCACCTCCAGGCTTCAGTTTCCTCAGCCATAAAATGGTCAAGTTGTACCAGATGACTCCCTAGCTTCCTTCCAAGGAAATTGCTAATTCTGTAACATCCTATGCTGCCCCCCCACCACTGACAACCATTTCTGACACCCTAGATTGCTGCTCCGTTGACCCTCAGTTGGCAAGGCCATGTCTCCTGAACTCCCACAGATCCTACCAGGCTGTGCAGTCTCCATGACTGGAGAGAGGACGAGGGATAGAGCACATGACTTATATCTGTTGTTCAACCCATTAATTTCTTAATCTTGCCACAGTGACTCAGGATGATCACTTTCTAATCTAAGACAAGGATGCGCTGGGACTTGAATCAGTGAAAGAAATGGTAGTGTCGGTGGACTAGACTGGAGCCTGGATTTTTGGAAATGTTGAATACAAAGGACCTTGGCCTACTCGGCTAGAGTGGAGAACAGCTCTGTGATTTGCTTGCTTGCTGTGTTCCAAGTCCTTGATGATAGCCAAATGGTGTTTTCCAACACACTGTCCCTTCCCAGGGCCAGCATTTCTGACTCCAAGTGTGTTTGGGGCAGCTGTTTCAATGTTCTAATTCAGAGTCCTAGGGATTCCAAGCTTGACATGATATGAGAGGGGGCAGGTATTTTAGGTTTAACCTCCTAGAATAGATGTAAGTTAAGGACAGCACAATCTACATTCACAAAGAGGAGGTCTACTCACCAAATTTATCAAGGAAAGCCATCAGCTCCAAAGTAATGACTTTTCTGGGGTACTTTTTTTCCTTCCCAAACTCAAGCTACTGAGACTTGACTGAATCACCTCTCTGGCGAAGAGTATTGGACTAGATCATCTTCGAGGCTTCTCTGGCTTTCTTCACATCCAAACTACAATTCCACCTTCTGCAGGAAGCCTTTCTTCAAACCCTCTTAATTCCAGTGCCTTACCTCTGTTAATTATTTCTTATTTATGCTATATATAGCTTGTTTGTCCATATTTGTTTGCTCGTGGTCTCTCCCATTAGCTTATGAGCTCCTTGAGAGAAGGGACTGTCTTTTGCTTCTTTTTGTATTCCCAGTGTCTATGTGCCTGGCACATAGTAGGTATGCTTATTGAATGACTAAGACCCCTTCCAGGTCTGACATCCTGTGTGTTCTAAAGTATTCTAAGGCCTCTTCCTACTGTAACATTCTTTGTTCTAAAGCTGTTGCAGCTACATAATTCCTGTCGTAAGAAAGGCCCCTTTAAATCACATCTTTGTTTGAAGGAAAGCCCCTTCCATCTATGACATTGTATGTTCTAATACCCCTCCCTTCTCTAACACTGTGTTCTAACATTCCATGTTCTTTTAAAACATTTTGTTATATCTTTCCCACTGCCCTTCCCAAACTGATTTTTTTAAACCTCACATCAAACATACACAGTCTAGCAAAACAAATTCTCACATTTGGGGTGTTCAAAAATGCATATCTCATTATGGATTTTAAGTTCATCACCTCTCTGGTAGGAGATGATGGCATGATTTCTCTTAACTTTTTTGGACCCAAGGTTTATCATTGCACTAACCAGTGACCTCAGTCTTTCAAAGTGGTTTTTCTCTATGATGTTGTTGTCATTATATATAAATTGTTTTCCTCATCCTGCTCACTTCATTCTATATCAGTTCAGAGAGGTTTTTTTGAGTTTCCTCTAAAATCATGCATTTCATCATTTTTAGGGCACATTAATATTCCATTCCATTCACATGACACTATTTAGCCATTCTCCAATAGATGGGTACCCCCTTAATTTCCAGGTTGGGGCTACAGTTAAAACATCTAATAAAAATACAAATAAAATATATTACAACCTAAAATTAGGTCAATATTCGGCTAGTAAGGATCTTTATGTTTGGATTAGTGGTCCTGTTTCTATTGCAGTTTGGCACCTGGCCTAGAGCAATGAGAGGTTATGTGCCCAGGGCATAGCCACATAGCCAGCAGGTGTCAGAGAACAGACTTGAACACAGATCTTCCTGGATTCAAACCTGGATCTGTCACCACTCTGGCATCTACAAAATACAATACAACACAACACAACACAATACAACACAATGCAAAACTGTTGGGGGAAGCATGAGGTTTTCTTAAAGACAAAACCTAATTTGATCATTAACTTCATTTGGTCATTTTGTCCTGGCCTGAAATGAGTAGGTGAATTATTTGGTAATATGAATAAACTTGTGTTGGCCATAAATGTTTAGTCAATGATCTCCTGTTTGTTATCTCTTGAATTATATCGATTTCAAAAAAAGAATCTCCAACAACAAACTCTAGAAGCTGTCACGTTCCCATTGATTTGCTCTGTCACTAATAATGCTTCCCAGGTCTCTACTTTGGATTCAACATAGCAAACTTCTTGTATCACAGGAAAAGGTAACAAAGACTTGAGCAACTTTGTGGTGTTTCCAAGTAAGCAAATTAAATTTGTCTCTCTCCAGGCTCGGAAAGCCTTGATACTTTTTATACCCAGGTGCATGCATAAGCTAAGAAGTAACATTGTACAATTAGTAAGCAATTTTTAAAACAAATGCTATGAGCAAAGAGAGAGGGTAACAATTCTGCAGACAATATAGGTGCTTGTAAAAGTGGGGTTGGTGAGTCATTATTTATGTTCAGATGCCGCCAGGGAGGGAGAAAGGGGACTAGAGGATGATGGGCTGGGCAAACACTTCAATAATTTTTAAATGAAGAAACATTTGGTATGGGAAAGAACTAAATCTATTTGCAACATTGTTATTTACCATGAAAATCTCTCCAATCCCCTCAATGGATTAGGACCCTAAATCATACTTGCTCATTTTCGAATCACTAAGATCGATGGTCCTAGTAACTACATATTGACCTTGAGAAAGAAAGATTTTAAAAAAAGCAGCTCCTTTCCTCCCAGTTATTCAGA